AGGCATCCTGGGCCGGGCACGCAGCAGGTGCTTGCTAGATGTGGAATGTCTGGTTGGCCGGCCGTAGCCGCACTGGGGACCCCTCTGGGGAGTAGCAGCACCCCTGGCCTCTCTTCTGGGCTTTTATGGGCTTCGTGGTGCTGCTCTTGGTGACACCAGGCAGGGGCTTGTACCCGAACCCCGAAAGTGCTCCCTGCCCCTTCCCACCCTGGGTTTCCCACCCCCTGCTGGTCCCCTTCAGGCCAGAGACCAGTTTGCCAGCCCAGGACCTGGTGCGTAGTAGGAAGCCAGAACCCTGAATGGGAAGGGCCTGACTCAAGTCCTTGCTGCCACAGAGCTGGAAGGCAAGGGACCAGCAGAGGTGACACCTCTCACCTTGAGCATCGTGGCGGTGGAGGGTCTGGGAAGGAGCTTTGTGTGCCGTGGAGGGGCGAACAGCTCTATGGCTACATTGGGTGTGTCTCAGGCTCTTCCCCCTTCTACAAGGGGGGAACCCTTGGACAAGTGGCTTCCCCTCTCTGGCCTCAGTTTCCTCATCTCTCAAATGGGTATAATAATAGTGCCCACTTCTCAGGCTGTGCAGCGGGATGAATGAAGGAATTAATGAGTGCTCCTTGCGCAGGCGCAGATAGGAGGGCTCACATCCCAGCCTCAGCCCTTACCAGGGTGACTGGAGGCCACTTTGTCTTTCTGAGCCTTGGTTTTCTCATTTGGGAAATGGGTCTGATGACCTGTCGCCCTGTTACGTGGGGAGCTGTGTCTGCATGCAGTGAAGCTTGGCAAGGTCTTCATTGACCACAGCCCCAGCGTTCACTGTGCCGACTGTGCTGCAGGGACACCTGTGCTCGCCTGGCGGCCCGATGGTGGGGTGTCCATCATGCAGTTGGGCAAGAAAGGGGAGACTCATTGTGGGGGAGGGGGAGAAAGCAGGAGGCAGGGTCTGAAGTGGGCGGCTGGGTCAGGTCATGTGGGGCTTTGATCTTCAAGAAAGACTTCTGGTTTTAACCTGGGAGCTACAGAAGCTTCTGGAATGGCTTTCTGTGGATCTGTGATGGGTGGCATTTTGAGAGGCTCTCTGGCAGCTGAGGGAGGAACCCAGGCGTTGGAAGTGCTGGGAGGTGGTGGTTGCCACCCAGAGAAGAGCCAGCGGTGGCTGGGACACAGGTGTGTGGCCTGGACAGGTGTTGGGATGGATGGGCGATGAGGGTTAAGGCACAGGGCAGAGTCAGGTGTGCCTGAGATGATGGGACCCAGGCACAGAGAGGTTTGGTAAAGAGCCCACAGTCACACAGCCAGCGGCTCTGGGAGCGAAGCCTCAGGCCCAGCATTTGCAGGCGGCGGTGGCGTGGCCTGCCCTGTGGGTGGTGAGTGGTCCGCACAGGGGCTCCGCACAGTGGAGGCGGAAGGCCGGTCAGAGCCGGCAGGGCGATGCTGGCCGTGGCAATCTGATGCCTCATTCGCGGGCTCTGCTCAGCGCCAGGCCTAATGGAGATGGATTGGGGTGTCTGCCAGGGAATGGGGGATCCGTTCGGTGTTGGCCACCGCTCCACTGAGCAGGGATTGGCACATAGAGGAGCCATCAGGGCAGGATGGAGCCAGGGCGAGGCGGCACCTGGCATGTGTGATTGTGAGAGAGACCCGGCTTACAGCCGGCAGCAGCTTCCTGGGGTGATGCTGGACCTCGGCGACCTTGGTTTTCCCATCTGTAACGTAGAGGTTGCTCCAGCCGGATGAGGAAGTTGGGACTTGGCCCAGGCCAGGGGCATGGTACGTGCTCAGGAAATGCGGGTGTTACTATTATGGCTGTTGCCGTCGTCGCTGTTGTATTGCAGCTGGAGCCGACCTTGTTGGCTGTGGGGTCAGTGGCCTCTCCGACTTGGGACATGTCATGGTCTGCCACGCCAGTTTAGCTCGGGGACAGACGATGTCCTCGAAATGGTGGGCCAGTGCCAGGTCCGAGGCCCACAGGCTGCAGAGCCAGGCCCGGGTGTGAGTGCAGGCCTTGGGTGGGGAGGATACGGCGAACGACAGAGAGACGGGCTTCTGTTTCGTGGACCACGGAGGGTTATGTGAGTCCAAGAAAGACAGTACAGGGAAGGGACACAGGAGTCTGAGGACGGATGGGACTGTGGTGACTGTGAGGAGACTGGGCTGTGCTTAGAGACTGTCCTTTACCAGATTTTACCAGGAAAACATACAAGAGGCCCAGAGAGGGTGCGGGCCTGGCTCAAGGTCACACAGCAGCTGGTGCTGGGAGCAGACCCGCTGGCCTGGGGGCCTGGGCGCTGCCCCCCTCTGTGAAGGAGGAATGCGATCATTTATCAGGGGAGTTTAATAATGAATGAAGTGGAATGTCTTTAATGCAGGCAGCAGGCCCAAAGTAATAAGGGACTCTGTATTAATTCGGAAGTTAATGAATATGCAGGTGTGTCTGAATGATTAATGGGGCTTCTGAAGGCCTTGGGAAGGAGTGCGTGAGCTGCGGCTGATGGAAATATGAATATTGCATACGTCTGGGAAGTCGGATAAGCTGGGGAGCAGGTGGGCATTCACGAACCAGAGGACTCCAGGGGCACCAAGGGCTGGGGATACACACCCAGGGCCACATAGCTAAGGGGTCTCATTGCTTGCTGTGTGATCTTGTACACGTCACCCAATCTCTCTGAGCCTCAGTTTCCTCATCTGCAGAGTGGGCATAAAAATAGTGCCTGGTTCCAAGGATCTTGGGGACGAAACGTGTGACCGTCCTTAGCACAGGGCAGGCGCAGTCCGAGCCTCTGGTAACTGTCACAACCTTTCTAGAAAGGAGGGCAGAGAAGTGGTTGGGGAAGGCCAAGGAAAGTGTAACAGGAACAAATTCCTTTAAATATGGACAGCACTCTGCAGTTTGTAAGGGGGGGGGTGTGTTTGTCTCATTAAACTCCCCCTTAGTTCCTTGCAGCAGTTGCTTGTCCTGGGGCAGAGGGGATGGGTCTTGGGGAAGCTGGCGCGCAGAGAGGGCTGGCCCAGGCCACCAAGCCAGCAGGGGCAGGGGCGGGCCTGGGCCCACGTCTACACCCCTCACTGTGAACCTCAGAGGGGCTGCAGTAGAACCACCAGCCAGCGGGAGGGTCCCTCCATGCACTGACCGGAAAAGGGCCTTCAGCGTGTGTTGGGCCTGGGGTTAGTCCTGCATCACCTCTGGGAGCCTCAGTTTCTCTACCTGTCGAGTGAGGGTCTGCCTGCCTGTTTTGAGACTTTGATGAGAAAAATAGGACACTGACCCCTCACCTGTGCCAGGTCATTGGGAGTCTCGGACTCTGCAGATGTCACCCCTGTGAGACTTAGGGCACCTGCGGGGTGGAGGTGG